AAAAAAATAAATAAAATAACATGAATAATAATAAGAACTAAATAAAATAAAAAAAAAATAATTATAATTAAAAAAAAAAATCAATAAAAAAAATTAGAATTAAAATATAATAAATCGAAAAAAATAAATGAAATAAAGCAAATAAAATAAATAACAATAAAGTAAAATAATTAAAGAAATAAAATAAATAAGAAATAGATAAAAAATTAAAAATTGAGAATATATTATTTTTTATATTAAAAATATAAAAAGGATAAAAAATAAATAAGAAAAACTAAATAAATAGAAAATTAAAAAAGTAATAATAAAATTAAAGAAATAAGAAAATTTAAATAAAATAAAAAAATTGAGAAAACTGAAGAAACGAGAAAAAATAAAGAAATAAGACACCTTAATTAAAAACAAATTTAGGAATTAAAAATAATTAAATTAAATAAAAATAAAGAATAGTATAAAATGAAATTAGAAAATTAAAAAGTTAAGAAAATAAAACATAAAAAAATTAAATATATAAGGAAAATGAAAAAATAAATAGAAAAGATATAGAAAAAATATTATAAAACTAAAAAAATTCATAAAATTAAAAAAAAAATTATTAAGTTTAATTTGAATTTTGAATTTTAAGATATTTTTAAATTATTTATAATGCAAAACTATTTTTTTGTGAATTTATATACTATTGCTTGTCATGATGATTTAGTTAAAATTTACTTCAAATAAAACTAGTTTTCGTTTACACTATTAACCATTCATCATTCGAATAATTATTTTCCAAACAACTTAAGAAATAGTAAAAATGATTGAATTAATAACATTAAATTATTTTCTTTTCTTTTCAGGTATGTTTAACACTAAAATCAGCTGATCGTTCATTGATAAGACATGAGGTAGGAAATTTTGTATAAACATTTATGAAAATAGCGTGCGAAAATAGTAAACTGGTGAAAATGTCTAGAAAATGTTTATAAGAGTCCGTAAAAATCACTGAATTTTACGAATACCACAATTAAAACATTTTGAAGCAACGAACTTGCTAATAAAGTTCCAAACTGAACTGAAACATTTTTCTTTCACATATCCATTGACGCACAAGTGGGAAGACGCGTGCCTAAGCAACAAACAAAAAATTCTAAAAACTATTTTCAAGGCAGATGAAAGGCGATTTAATTTAGTGGCTAATAAACACGAATTGTAAACAATAATTAATTACGAATATTTAAATTATATTTTAAATTATATTTTATGAAAAGAAACTCAGCTCCCAATCCATACTGAGTCCCCACTGCAGTGAGAAAGCACTTTTAGTTACATCATTGCAAGTTGAATGCCGTTAAGAAATTATACGCATTTATGCACTTACACGCACTCGTAAATATGTATTTGAGGCATGCAGATACGGCTATTTACTGCTGACTGCTCTGTCTAAGTGCATGGCAAGCTTACACTCAACTATTTATCAAACATTAATTTCCTGTTGCTATTTTTAATACCCGATAAACATATGCATGCACACAAATATACACACGCATATAAATAAACTCTGAAGAATGGCTGGAGCTTGAGATTATGCACCAAAAACAACATGGCTGAGCGCTGAGCAGCAAAACAAAAAATGGCAAAAGAAACCAGAAGCAAATTAAAAGTTATGTGGAGTGACAGAAAAAGAGTTAAAAAAAATATATTTATATAGATACATATGTATTTAAACAGTAGTAAAATAAAAATTCCAAGCGCACATATTATTTTGCTGTCGTCATTATTTTTTGTTTGAATAATTTTGTTTATTTTTTTGCAGTCGCGATTTTGCAAATTTTGTTGCCTTTTGAACTAGTTAACGTTTTTAGCATTTAAAATGTGAACCACAATTATATTGTTAACTTACTTTTTATTCGTTAAATATTTTCAACGTAATTTTTGTCCTTTTCTTATTTCTTTCCGTTTGACGTTTTTTGTTTTACTTTTGCCTGCCAACTTGTTACGCGATTCAATTTGCTATTTTTATATCGTTGTTTGTTACTTTTTTTGTTTTTGGCAAACATCTAAACTCGTTTTCATTTTTATATTAGTTAACCCGACCAGTGTATAATATCATTTTATGTTTTTGAAAAGTTGACGCAACTACTTGGCTATTTACCTAAGTACACACACACACAAATAAGTTTATAGAAAATTACCGTTTATGGCAATTGCTCGCGGTTAGCGGTGTTTATACATATATGTGTGTATACATATGTCGATTGCGAATTTTCGAGTTTTGAATTTTTAATATAAAACCGCATAGTGAATGGTTTCAAACATGTTGGCAAACCATTTTTTTTTTTTTCAATTTATATACAATAATATGTTGCGCTCTAAAGTATTTTATGGTTTCGCTTGCGTTTTTTGTGGCTAATAAACTTTGCTTGAACATATCTGGAACAGTTGTCATAGATATAAATGATATAAATCGTAGGTTGGGATTACGGGAATGTCCAGCTTTTTAAATGTTGTGAGTACCAGTGAGTGGAATACTCGTAATATATACATACATATGTATATGTATCCCTCAAAAAAGGTGCGATTTCGTCAGAGATTTTTTGGCTATATAAAATACAAAACGAAGAAAACTTTATAGAAAACAAAAGAAAAAATATAAATAAAAAAAGGACAAAAAAATTAAAAATAAAAATAGAAAAAAAAATGAAAGAATGAAAAAATAAAAAAATAAAAAAATAAAACAATAGAAATAAAAAAATAAAAATAAAAAAATAAAAATAAAAGAAATAAAATAAAAAATATAAAATAAAATATATATATACATCTATAATTTTTTGTATAAAAGTACATATTGACCGAACTAAAACTAGCTGAGATACCGATTATCTCCTAATCGTGCCCAAGACAATTTCCATTGCTCTTAAAACTTTAGATTTCTCAAGTCGGTGCGTAACGTCAAAAATTAATGCTCCGATATAAATGAAATTTTGCACACATCCATTATAAAATAAAATCTTGCGGATGAATGACAGCTTTCATATAACAAAACAACAAAAAAAATTAAAAAATAAATAAAAAAATTAAAAAATAAATAAAAAAATTAAAAAAAAAAATAAAATAAAAAAATAAAAAGAATAAAAAAATTAAAAGTAAAAATAAAATAAAAAACTAAAAAAAAATTTAAAAAAATTAAAAAAAATAAAATTAAATAAAAATAAAATAAAAAAAAAAAACTTGAATAAATATATATTAAAATATAAATATATAATTAAGAAAAAAATATAATAAAACTTAACCAAAAATAATAATAAACAAAAAATAAATAACATGCAATTAGAAAATGGGAAAATTAAAAAAGAATGCTAAATATAGAATAAAAAAATATTAAAAAAGAAAACAAAGTGATTGAAACAAAATAGAGAGAAAAATAATTAGGAAAAGAATAAAAAATAATTAAAAAAGAATAAAAGATACTTAAAAAAGAATAAAAAATAATTAAAAAAGAATAAAAAATAATTAAAAAATAAAAAAATATCACTTAAAAAGGATAAAAATAATAAAAAAGTATAAAAATTTATTAAAAAAGGAATAAAATATAATTTAAAGAAATAAATAAAATTAAAATAAGTAAATAAAATAAAATAAATAAATTATTCAAAAAAATAAACAAACAAATATTAAAGAAAACTAAAAATAAATCAGTAAAATGAAATAACGGATCAAAAATATATAAAATTAAAAAAATGACAAAAATTAAAAATTCAAAAATATAAATTAAAATAATAATAAAAATTAAATAAAAAGTCCAAAAATCGAAAAAAAGATGGATTGGAGTTAAAAGAAAATTGCATATAAATATAAATCAAAATAAGAATTGAACTTGTAAAAATAGAAGATAAAAATAAAAAATGGTAATAGAAACAAAAATTAAGCAAACGAAAAAAACAATAATTTGAATAAAAATATTCTGATGAATTTAACAGTTATATTTTTTTACCATAATCCCAGAGAGAATGTTAATCTGTGTTAATTAGATTTGATGCGACTAAAAAAATCCTCACAAAGATAGAAAATAATTTAACTAGTGATTTATGTTTTCCTTGAGACTGAAGTCTGAAAAACTTGTCAAAAGCCATTTATAAATGCACTGAAACTTTGAAATCTCCCTCCTTTAGTAGTTTTTAAATTCTATTTACTTTCCCCTAAAATTCGGTAAAAGATTTTCTCCCAATGCAGATCTTTTGTATTTTGTATTTTGTTTTGTCAATTTTCTCCCTTCAAAGCCAAGCAAAGTTTCCCTCACATCTTCGCTGCAACAACACATAACAAATTTATGTATGTAGGTGTTTTTCGTGTCTCTGTCTTTTCATAAGATAATAAAACGTGCTGTCTATTTTTAAAATACTACCTCATCGTTAAAAACACCAGACATTCAAATGAATAAATGACAATTTAATATATACTCGTAGTAGCTCAAGAAACGTACAATAAAAAGCTAAGTATACCGCCAGCTGCTTAAGTTCTTGCACATAAACATATATTTTCGAAAGACACTGGTTTATTCGCGTAAACTCATTCCCCTAATAAATAAGAATTTATTTTAATGCAGTATGACTTTGATGCGTGAAACCCCTTTTGGCAAGAGCGTTTGGTTTTTGTTGGCAAAAACTGAAGGTGGAAGAACAGTTGTACGTATACACAGATCCATATATACATATATATGTATGTATGTATGCTTGTGTAAGAGTAATAAAATATATAAAGAAAACAATAAAATTTAATACGAATATACTTTAAATGTGATTTGTCAGAAGCTGTATGGTCAGCGACATACATACTAATTTACATATGCTAACAGTCAAGATCAATTTGAGAGAAAGGGAAAATAAAGAGCACAAAAGTCTGATAGTCTCAAGCTCTTTAGATGCATTTTTTTTACAGAAAATTTTTTTTGCTTTTGTAATTTTCAGCTTTTTTCATTACAAAGTGTGAAGGTAATGTAAAATTAATGTTCTTAGAATTTCAAAAAAGTACAAATTTCAAAGTATTTTTTATTCGAAAACAATCGACAACCATCACCACCGCAGACTGTCATGAGAATTCTGTTACAAATTATTTCATTCATTTTCTTAGGAAATTTAGAAAAACACACTAAATCATTCAGTATATTCATTTAATTACAGTTATTGGCAATAATAACAAAAACTAAATTTAAAGTATAAGAACAACGAAAGAGAGGGAGAGAAGCGTAAAAATTTGCAATGATTCGCAATCGTCGAAAACCGAAGCGCAGGAATCACGTTGCTGCTCCTCGTGGCCGCCGTAAGGTAATGAGCAAACGTAGTCGCGAACGTAGAAAAATCGAACGGGAACAAGAAAGACTACGTAAAATGTCATTGAAATTTGGTAAAACAATAGCGCCGAATTTCGGACGTGTTCTTGAGAATAGTAAACGTCAGCTAACACGACATCCTTACATGAATTTTTTGCGAGATTTCAAACACAGACATCCGCGTTATGGCCTCACGCGTATACTGCGTGAAGCCGCGAAATTGTGGAAGCGTTTGGCACCTGATGTCAGGGCGAGTTACACGCAACAGGTACGGATGTGAGGTGAAGAATAAGTAAAATAGTTCGCTATCTCAACGTTTTAGAAATAATACGAAATGATAATTACAAAAAAAAAGAAAATAGAAAAAATAAGGTTATAAATAATTCAATCGTAACAGATCTAATGAAGAAACATCTCTACTCAGAAACGCTTTCGGATAAAGAACAAAGATCTTTATCATGTTTCCTTTGTCAATTTTCAGCAAGTACTCAAAACGCTGCAGCATGGCACGAAGTTAGAGAGCCTTTTGAAAATGGTGCCTTCCTATCCCATACTATTTGACTATAATCCCCAATCGCTTAGCGCCAGACGTAATATTGAACGAAAGTTACGAACTCGTCAAATGACACCAAGGCATGATCAGGGCGGTAGAGAAAGGAAACCTGTCAGACCGCATGTAAGACGATATTGAGGTAAAAGTGGACTCTTCGGGAGAAACATTCCAGTTGAGCGTTGGATTAAAGTTCTTCAAAATTTGGTTATACCTTCTGCTATATGTACTCGAGCTAGTAGAATTTTTTTTTATTAATTTTTAAAAAAGAAATGTTTAATAAATATGGCAAATATGTAAAAAAGGAGACTTTTTGTTTTTGGGATAAACCTTTTTGTTTATGAAATTTTAATGTTTAACGAGATTTTCGGGTTAGATAATTTGCATTTTAATACAGCAATATTTTATGACCAAAATTCATTGTTTTATGACCAAAATTCATTCATCACATAACAATATTTTAAGCCAAATTGTATGTTTAGCCATATATTATTTGAAGTCATTCCATATTTCATACATATACATATTTTTGAGTCGACTAATGATATTTTTTGTCAATTCATTATTTTTATTTGCACTATATTTTATGTCAAGCCAACTTCTATGTTAAGCCAAATTTTATGTTAAGCCAAATTTTATGTTAAACCATATTTTATGACAAAAAATCGTAAGTTTAACAAAACCCATTTTTTAATAAATCTCATGGTCCCTTTATTTACAAGCTATCAAGTTTGGAACTTTTTTTCAAAACAAAAAAATTAACCCCGATGGTGAACAAACTTTTTTTTATAACATTCAATATTCTTTGCATTCTTCGCGCCCAATGATATCTTGGCCGCTATCAAATATACATTTACATTTAATTTATTGTTATTATTACTTTTCTTCTTTATACCAATACGTTTTTACGTCTCTCACTGCTCAAAAGCTCATAACTCAACGCCGCTAATCATACGAACGAATAAATTTGCATTCCATTGGCAATTCTCAATTGACATATTGTGCGTGTTGGCATCCGACAAACAACGAATTCGTTAAGAATGCCCCAATCGTCAACTGACAATCGCCAAACGACAATCGACGAGATATCCATTACTTCTTGATATCATTTTACTATTGGGTGTCGTAACGGTGTTGTTATGTATCATCTATATGGTTTGTTATCGAATTCCATTCAAATGCAATGAACTCTTTCACAAGTTATTTGAGTGGCGAATTACCGAAAACGTTGCAAACAAAAAAAAAAACACTCCAATCATAAAACGCAAAAAATGAAAAAAGTCAGCTAAATTTGTTTTTAAGTGACACTCAATATATTTTAATTTACATTATTTGAACGCAATACCATTTTTACACTATGATTTATTCAAGCCACATTTGTTGCGATTTGTTGATTTAAATTCATATATATAACATACATACATACATATGTATAAATATGGCATATACACATTTGGTCTATGAAATCTGAGTCTAGACAAAGCTTTGTAGCGTTTTTGGTGTTGTTTGTATTAAAAATNGAAAAATATATTGCTCTGACTGTGTCGAAGGCGTCTTATCACTAGCACGCGCGAGTTTGTTGATTTTTATTTAATACTCTCACTTGTTTTATTTGAAAGACATAACAATAGTGGCACATCAGACAGTAAAACTATAGTCTAACAATCAACCGAACAGTTATTTGCATTGAATAAATAAACAGGCTTGTGCGCGTCTGCTACGAAAATAGAATTATTTATATATGTACATATTTTATAGAATCTATAAATTCTGATTAATTCATATACTTAGAACTATTTTCAAAACAATACAACAAATTTATTAAATCTAAGCTGAATAAATTAATGAATTGCTCATTTGTTTGTGTGCGAATTCCTCACCAATTTACTTCAGGTTTTGTTACTAAAACTGAGAATCAGTAAAAATGAGTTTATGAAAGTTTAGTATTTTTGTGGTAAAATATAAATTTTCGTATTTGTTCTTTTGTAAGTCAGCTTTATTGACATTATCTATGTATGTACCGACATATATCTTATTCTACAATATTCTAGCGAGCTTTTTCCCTTTAATTTGGTCTTGGCTTCCCGTAACAAAGTGTTTTTTGTGGTTAACGATATGTCAGTTTTAATTAGGAGAGTGAATTTACAGCGTTAGTTAAATATGCACTGTGTATGTACGTATTCAGTTGCACACAGTTGTGTAGGTATTCATAGCCATTTTGGTACACCCAATTCAAATACATACATTTGTACAGAAATAGGAAACCGCAATAGCTCATGTAAGCTCTTACAGCTAAGCTATATATAGTATATCTGATAAGTATACAGATATGTATGGCTTACAACTATCACGTCGGTTTTTTATAATGTAAAAGTATCAAATTAGATTTAATAAAATGCAACACGAATCTCAAATTTATATTAAAAATAATATAAAATAAAATAATATACAAAATAAATTAAAATTAACTGAAAANAAATAAAATAAAATAAAATAAAATAAAATAAAATAAAAAATAAAATAAAATAAAATAAAATAAAATATAAAATAATATAGTAAAGTAATGTAAAAAAATAATTGGGCGTAGTCCTAAGCAACTCATTTACTACCAACTTTTATACTAAATTTTCAATAATACGCTGTAAGAGCTAAAAAAAAAATTTTCATCTCCTTAAAGTCTAGACTTTTGTATAACCTTTTACGTCGCATTGAATTTTTCCTATTTCCATTAAATTGACAATGTCATCCATGCATCAAGCTTTCAACAAAAAAAGAAATATCGTCGCTATATTGGTATCGTCTATGGCGGCACATTTCCTCTATACACTCACACGCTTAAATATTTTTTAATACGTCGTGCGCTTTTTTGTGTCTCGTTTTTAGCTGCCTTCATTTACAAAGCGCTCTTGCATACAAATTTTGTGTTGTGATAAGCTTTTAGTTATTTTTAATTCAATTTATAGAGTGTAATAATAAATTGTGTATAAAATGTTTTCGAGATATACATATGTATGCAACCTGTGAAATGCGTCTAGCAACGCTGTAGCTGACCACTTACACCCACCACACGACTGTGTGCCATCACTACTGCACTTGGGTGCTGTAGTTTCGTGCTTTTACATACTATACATACTATACATACATATATGGTATATGTATGCATTGCTCATGATTTTGATTATATTGCATATTTTGTTTTGTTATTTCCTTGTTTTGTGTTGCTTACCCAATTCATAGTCTCGTTTCCATCTTTTGCGATGTAAATGTGATTTCCGGACCAAATCTGAAGCTGCATTTTATCCACTTATGTGTTTAATTTTCTTTGCTCGAGATTGGCTTTCTATACGCTACACAGTGGATCTTTTATTCAGTGCATGGCTGAGTGTTTTTGTTTTCTAATTTTTCCCATCTTCAGTTAAATTCTATACATACAAAAAATAAAATAAAAAATTGAAGTAAAATATGTGCACTCATGCAGGAATAAACATTTCTATTGGCTCTTTATTTTATTTTTATCATTTTCATTTTAATTTTTATTTTTATATATACTTTTGTAATATGAGTTTTATTTATTCGTCGCTTTTCGGGTCTTCCGTTCCCATGCCATTGTAGTTCCCTCATAAATATTTAAGTAAAAAAATAAAAAATAAATAAAAAATTCAATGTATTTTGGCATTACTTTGGTGCTCTTTCTCTCCATTCTTTTATCTCCTTTTGTATTCATATATTCGCATAAACATTCAAGAGCATCTTTTTGTTGATAGCAAATTCTTCCTTAAAAATTACTTCATATTAATGAATGGCTTTCTTTCATATTTTTATGGCTGAATGAATGCACACAATTTTTTATTAAGAATATTTTGTCACAGTTGTTAGTGTTCCACATATGAAAAATTACATTATATGTGCATAATAATATTTATATTTTCGGAAATATTATTTTCGCACAATAAAACGCCGTTTAAGCTGAGAGTTTATATATTTTTAGAGTAAATATCAACTAGTTTTATGAGCGTGTAAGCAACACTTTGCATAATAAATATGTGTATGTGTGGAATATATTTAAGTAGGCAGCAGATTCAATAGATCGAAAAAAAAAAATTTATACATACATATAAAAAAAAGTATAAATTATTTCAAAAATATATATAAAATAAATATAAAACAATATAAAAATCAATACATTAAAAATAGAAATAATATAAAAAATATAAATTATTTCAAAAATATATATAAAATAAATATAAAAAATGACAAAAATATAATCAATGTAATATAAGTATAAGACAATATAAAATAAATATAAAACAATATAAAAATCAATACATTAAAAATAGAAATAATATAAAAAATATATAAAAAAATATATAAAAAATATAATAGAAGATAAAAATATATAAAAATTAATAAAAAATATATAACAAAATATATAAAAAATACGTAAAAGATTTATATAAAAACGTACAAAAAATGAAAAATTATAAAAAAAAATATAAGAAAAAATATTAAAACAATAAAAAAATTAAAAATCTATGAAAAAATATTAAAAAAAAAATATAGAAAATTATAAGAAATATATTTAAAAAAACATTATTTTTCAAAAACATGAAAATATAAATAATTAAAGAATATATAAAAATTAAAAAAAATATATAAAAATATTAAAAAAATATCAAAAATATATATATAAAAAATTATAAGAAATAATATTAAAAAATATTAAAAAAGTCTATAAAAAATATTAAATAAGATTATAGAAAATAAAATATGCTTAAAACAATATTAAATATATATTTCAAAAGTATAAATAATTATAGAATATATAAAATTATTAAAAAAATATACAAAAAATATAAAATTTAAAATAATAAAACAATATTATAAAGAAATATTAAAAAAAAAAAATATTTAAAAGAGGAAATTAAAAAATATAAAACAAATAGAAAAAATATAGAAACATACGAGAAAAATATTAAAAATATATAAAACGAATTAATAAAACATATAAAAAATATTAAAAATAATTTAAAAAAATTAAAAAGAATATTTAAAATAAAAAATAAAAATCACAAAGCTAAAAGTAATAAAATATAAAATAGTTAAAAGATACAAAATTAAAAAAATTTATAAAAATTAATAAAAAGTATAAAAAATAAAGCAA